TGGATTTGTTAGTGGCGGGATGGGAGTGTCAGGGTACTTCTAGGGCCGGAAAGGGGAAAGGCTTACAGGACGAGCGCACGGGGATGGTGACCAAGCTACTCACCATAATGAAGTGGACGATTGAAGTGAATGGAGAATATGCTTACATCCTGGAGCATGTGGATATGAGGAATGACGTACGCGAGCCGGTCAGGGCAGTAAGGGAGCTGGTGGAGGCAGAACTGGGGAGAGGAGTGAGCTGTGATGGGGCACAGTTGGGGGCACGCTGTCATAGGGTGCGGCAGTACTGGCAAAACGTCTTGTCAGACGGGGAACTGAGGGCAAGACTAGCAAGAGTGGAGAGGGACGAAAGCAGGATAGTAGAGGATATTTTAGAACCAGGGAGGGTGGCGGCACCAGTGGTAAAACCAGATCATCCGCGGCAGTACCAGTGCAACCGGGTGGGGGAAGCTCGCAGGGCATGGCCTACATTAGTGGCATACACCAGGGCACAAGGTTTCATCGAGGTGGACGGAATACCAGGACCAGGGATGGTGTACGATCACCGGAAGAAGAAGTGGGAGGAACCGACGGCTTTGGAGCGGGAGTTAGCCATGGGATACCTGCCAGGAGCAACCGCAGCAGAAGGGGTAGAGGAAGGGATGCGCAGAGCAGCTTTAGGAAGAGCCATAGACCAGCACTCGCTGAGATGGTTAATCAAAGAGATGAGGAAGGGGGCAGCTGATAAGGGAGGAGAGACCGGAAAAAGGCAAGGACAAGAAGAGAAGCAGGCGGCGTATGCAGCTGTTGAGCAGGGCACGGGAGGAAAGGAGAATGTTGCGGCACTAGCAAGGGGCAAAGAAGCTGAGCAGGGTAAGGAATGGAAGCTAGGTACGGACATCAAGGAGCAGACGGCGGAAGCAATCAGAGAGGTGCTGCGCCAGCACAGGAGCACTTTCGCCTATAACCTGCAGGAATTGGGGAGGTACAAGGGAAGAGAGCTGGAGCTAAACCTTACCACAAAGATACCCACTTACCAACGAAGAAGAAGAATGAATGCAGAGGATGCGGCTATCTGCAAGGAGAAGTGTGAGGAGCTGCTAGCAGCAGGGATTATCCGCCCGTCCGAGTCAAGCTACGCAGCAGCCACAGTGGTAGCTGCCAGGAAGGATATCACGGGTAAAGTGCTGGCGAAAAGGATGTGTGGAGATTTTCGGGAGCTGAACAAGATTACCAGCCCGGACAGGTACCCCATGCCAACAGCAGAAGACATCTTTGATCGCTTAGAAGGCGCCATCATCTTCACCACCTTGGACCTGCGACAGGGGTTCAACCAGATAGCCATCAGGGAGGAAGACAAACGGAAAACGGCGTTTCACGGGGTGGATGGGCTGTATGAGTACAATGTGATGCCCTTCGGGATACGCAACGCCCCTGCAGTGTTCCAGCGGGCCATGGATCAGGTGCTGAAGGGGATTCCAGCAGCAGCCTGCTACATAGATGATATACTGATTTTCAGCAGCAGTGAAGAGCAGCACGTGCAAGATCTGAAGCAGACGCTAGAGGCTATAGCAGCTGCGGGTCTGACGTGCCATCCAGACAAGTGCAAGATAGCAAGGCAGACCGTGGCTTACCTGGGCTTTGAAGTGAAAGGGGGCCGGCTGGCGATACAGGAAGCAAAAGTTAAGGTGCTGGAGAACCTGGCAGCACCAAAGGATAAGACCGGGCTGCGGGCGTTACTCGGCTTCCTGAATTATTACAGGAAGTTCGTACCGAACTTCAGCCGCCGAGCCTACATACTGAATCAGCTGCTGAAGGAAGGGAGGAGCTGGCAGTGGGGAGAGCTGGAGGAAACGGCAAGGCAGGACCTGTTAGAAGCAGTACGAACGGGAACGCTGCTGCAGATACCGAGGGCAGATGCCCCTTTCATCTTATACACCGACTGGAGCAGCACAGGAATGGGGGCAGTGCTCTGCCAAGAGATAGAAGGAGAGGAGAGAGTGGTAGCCTTCGCCAGCCGCAGCTGCAGCCCATCCGAGGCTAACTACTGCTCTTACGAGGGGGAGGGCCTGACAGCTGTATGGGGGATCACTCACTTCAAGGTGTACCTGCAGGGTCGGCGCTTCACACTTGTGACTGATCACCAGCCGTTGCTATGGTTGATGACTCATCAGGAGCTGACGGGAAGAAACGCTCGCTGGGCCATTAAGCTGCTGGGATTCGACTTTGAGATCCGACACCGGCCTGGGAAAACGCTGCAGCACGCAGATGGGTTATCAAGGAATCCGCCACCAATGCAGCCGGTAGCGCAGCTGGCAGCCCTGGCTCAAGTAGCGGCGGTACCCTGGGGGCAGGAGAAAGGAGAAGCGGTTAGGGGATATATGGGAGGATGAGGAGACCCTGAGTTGGATCAAAGGGGAGCCACTAGAAGAGGAAGGAGTGAGCGAGAGAGCCAGGGCCCGAGGGCAGCATTTCAGGTGGTTTCAGGAACAGCTGCAGCTGAGAACCAACGAAGGGTGGAAGGTGGTGCCACAACCACAGGAGAGAGCCAAGATTATGGGGAATGTGCACGCGAAGCTGGGGCACTTCGGCATAACCAGAACACGGCAGCTGCTGAGCACCATGTACTGGTGGGTGAGCATGGGAAAGGATGTGGCAGGATTAGTGGCGAGCTGCGAGGCATGTCAGAGGAATAAAGCAAGGCTGGAGAAAGAGAGAGATGAGCTGCATTCTTTACCAATTCGCGGGTTGGGCTACAGGTGGTCGTTGGACCTCGCGGGAGAGCTGCCACTATCGAAAGGAGGGAAGCAGTACATTCTGGTGATGGTTGAGCACACGAGTAAATGGGTGGAGGCGCGAGCGTTACCAAGCAAGAACAGCGCACTGATAGCTGACGCTTTTGAGGAGCTGGTGCTCACCAGGTATGGGGCATGCGGGGAGGTACTCACTGATCAAGGGACGGAATTTCAAGGGAGCTTCGACGAGCTGCTGGAAGAGATGGGTATCACGCACAGGGTCACCTCTAGGTACCATCCTCAATCAGACGGACTGACCGAGAGGCTCATACAGACCTTGAAGAAAGGACTACGGGCCTACAGTGAGTCCCACAAAAGGAGTTGGGACCGAGATCTCTGGTGGGTGCTGGCGGGGTACAGGTTCGCAAAGCAGGCGGCTCTGAGAAACCTATCCCCATACCACTTACTGTTCGGGCGGGATCCTGTGCTGCCGGTCGATGCTCCGAAGCTGCTTTCTGCGGTTATAGAGGCAGATGAGCCAAACCTGTGGGCGGAGTTAGCACAGAGGAGAGCAAAGTATTTGAAGGAGCTGACTCCGGCAGCTCTGGATAACCTCCATGTGGCACAGCTGCGTGACGCAAGACGATACCAGCAGCGTAAAGCATCAGGGATAGGGGGAAAGGGTGACAAGGTGGAGGCAGGGCAGGAGGTATACCTTCGCAAAGCTAAGCGCGACACGCTGGACTTAGCGGTGGGATCGGAGCGGTGGAAGGTGAAAGAGATACGAGGCTCGGGAGTGTTAGTGCTGGAAGATATTCGAGGGGGAATCATCAAGGAACACATCACCAACGTGGCCAGGGCGGGACAAGGGAAGCCTCAGGCAGTGGGTCCCGTGACTCGAGCGGCAAAGATGGGCGCTGAGACACGGGAGGGGGCAGGGAAGCCTGAGGTACCAGGAGGAGTGCAGGACAGAGTGATTACATACGCCAGGAGGAAGAAGGGATGAACCTGATCAGCAGTACGGGTGGCAGGGAAGGAAGGAGAGAAGGAGAAGTCAGCAGGTTACACAGGGGAGAAAGGGAATGAGGGTGGACAGAGGAAGATTCACGACAGCTGTCGCGTTATTAACACTTAGCTGGCAACTAAGTGTGAATACCACAGCAGCCAAGGTGAGGGTGTACTATAGTTTACCGCTTTTGTACTCTAATTTCATTTGTGTGCTTGGAGTGTATTGTACTGTACTGCAGAGCCGAGTAGCTGGGGAATTTGAGGTGGTTAGTGGGAGGCGAATTCAAGGAGGTTGGTGGAGACGAATTCAATTCCAGCCTGTGAATTCAATTTCGAAGTCACAAGGCTGGAAGGCGAATTCAATGCCAGCCTGGGAATTGAATTCGAAGTCACCAGGCTGGAAGGCAGTGCATGCCTAGTGGGCCCAGTGGGAACACAGCTAGCACCTTGGAGACCTCGCGAGCAGCCCGGCTGACTCGCTTGGTGCACAGGAGCTTGCTTGTGGAGGAAGCAACCTAGGCAGGGGGTGGGAATAGATGTAGGCAGGAGTAGCACTCGGGCTTCTTGCTTTTTGCTTGTATGTTTCTCATTTACTGCAATTTGTTTTCCTAATCCAGAGGGAACTAGCAGTAGGAGAAGCTATAAGCAATTTGACGGAGCCCCTGAGGTGGAGTGTTACGCTTGCTACAGGGAAGCCTGAGGTACCAGGAGGAGTGCAGGACAGAGTGATTACATACGCCAGGAGGAAGAAGGGATGAACCTGATCAGCAGTACGGGTGGCAGGGAAGGAAGGAGAGAAGGAGAAGTCAGCAGGTTACACAGGGGAGAAAGGGAATGAGGGTGGACAGAGGAAGATTCACGACATCTCGTGTATGGTGTTCTCGTGTATGGTGTTCTCGTGTATGGTGTTCTCGTGTATGGTGTTCTCGTGTATGGTGTTCTCGTGTATGGTGTTCTCGTGTATTGTGTTCTCGTGTATGGTGTTCTCGTGTATGGTGTTCTCGTGTATGGTGTTCTCGTGTATGGTGTTCTCGTGTATGGTCAGTGCAGTCTAGCATTGAGGAGTGAATGTGCGTGAGCATGCCGGTTCGAGATGAGAAATGCACTTTTTCTTTGATGTGTCTGTGCATGTGCCCATGCGTGCATACGTGGATGTCTGCGTGTCTGCATGATTGTGTGCACATGATTTTCATGCATGTTTCCATGTGTGTGCATGTGTGGCAATGACAATTGTGCATCCCTGCATCCCTGCATGTGTGCATGCATGCATGCATACAGGTGCGAGATGTGTTGGGCAACGGGTGTGTGATCAAGAGAAGGCTTCAAGACGGGACAGGTGAGGACGAAGCATCCATAATCGACACCTTTTCCTTCCTCAATTCTTTCCGGTCAGCTACATCTGCCAAGCACTCGACCCATCAAACTTGCACCCACAGGCGACTTGCTGCCTTCCCTCCCTCCCTCTGACCCGATCCACACCCCATGCTCACTTCCCTACCGTTGATTTCCCCATTGGCTGTCATCCTCTCCCCCCCCTTGACCCCACACCCCACGCCCTACCTGCTCTTCTCCCTGCTCCCATCCTTCTTCAGGCGACTTCCCCATGTACTGCCCCTTGCACGGCCCTTGTGTGGTGCACGTGCACATGCACATGCACATGCGCGGCACTCAATCACCCATCATTGTTCCCTGCTCATTGCTCCCTGCACTCTCCCCTCTTCAGGCGACTTCCCCATGTACTGCCCCTTGCACGACCCTTGTGTGGTGCACGTGCACATGCTTTTGAGTCGACTCAAAAGCAGACTGCACCTTGCAGGACTGTCTGGTGCACATGCACATGCACATGCACATGCACATGCACGGCACCCTTCCAGATCAGTAGAGAGGGGGCGGGAGGGAATCATGCACGGCAGAGAGAGGGAGGGAGGGAATCATGCACGGCAGAGAGAGGGAGGGAGGGAATCATGCACGGCAGAGAGAGGGCGGGAGGGAATCATGCATGGCAGAGAGAGGGCGGGAGGGAATCATGCACGGCAGAGAGAGGGCGGGCGGGAGTCACTCCAGTCACTCCAGTCACTCCAGTCACTCCACCCTACCCTCCTCTTTGACCCCGCTATCCTGCCAGGCGACTTCCCCATGGACTGTCCGCTGCAAGACTGTGTGGTGCACATGCACATGTGGGGCACAATGGGAAGAGAGGGGGAAGAGGGAGGTCATAAACTGCAATCACCCATCTCTACCCTCCCTCCCTCTGACTCACTGCTCACTGCTCCCTTCCCGCCAGGCGACTTCCCCATGGACTGCCCGCTGCAGGACTGTGTGGTGCACGTGCACATGCGGGGCACCCTGCCGGACCAGGGCGGTTCTGAGTTCATGGACACACGCAAAGGGGGCGAGGGGGAGGGGGAAGGCGAGCCACTTCAAATCGGCACTGGGGAAGGCAGGGTGAGTGGGATGAAAGGGGGTATGAGTGGCACCCTGCCGGACCAGGGCGGTTCTGAGTTCATGGACACACGGAAAGGGGAGGAGGGGGAAGGCAAGGGAGCAGGGGAGCCGCTTCAAATCGGCACTGGGGAAGGCAGGGTGAGAGGGAGGGCAGGAAGGGTGGAAGGGCTGGGTGAGTGGAAAGGCAGGGTGAGAGGGGAGCAGAAAGATCAATTTACAACCCTCAAACGTTCACAAGGCCTTGTGGCTTGAGGCACATTGTATCCCTGCGGCGCTCGCTCATATACGTCCTGCCCCCACACCCCGCCACCCTCTCACCACAGCTGCCAGAGGCACTAGAGGCGAGCATTCGCCTGATGCTCCCTGGAGAGGTGGCGCTGGTCTCCAGCACGGCGCAATTCGCCTATGACTCCTTCCCCAGGTGCAGCTCTTGTCTCTCCTCGCATTGCAATATGCCTGGCACTTTTCTCATTCTATCTCAACACTCGCTCGCTGCTGGGAGAGGTGGCGCTGGTCTCCAGCACGGCGCAATACGCCTTTCACTCCTTCCCCAGGTGAGGGGGCTGGCTGCCTAGCTAGGCAGCATGGCACAGTGTTAGCAGAGGCACTAGTCTCCCGTCATCTGTTCACTCGCTCGCTAGCAGAGAGGTGGCCCCTGTGTCCATCCAGCACAGTGCATTACGCCTATGACTCCTTCCCCAGGTGAGGGGGCTGGCTGCCTAGCTAGGCAGCATGGCACAGTGTTAGCAGAGGCACTAGTCTCCCGTCATCTGTTCACTCGCTCGCTAGCAGAGAGGTGGCCCCTGTGTCCATCCAGCACAGTGCATTACGCCTATGACTCCTTCCCCAGGTGAGGGGGCTGGCTGCCTAGCTAGGCAGCATGGCACAGTGTTAGCAGAGGCACTAGTCTCCCGTCATCTGTTCACTCGCTCGCTAGCAGAGAGGTGGCCCCTGTGTCCATCCAGCACAGTGCATTACGCCTATGACTCCTTCCCCAGGTGAGGGGGCTAGAGTGGCTGCGTGTTTTGTCGACTGAGTGTGCTGCTTAGGTCTGACTTCTGCTCGAACAGGAGAATGTGCAATGCTTTGGCTGGCGGCTGCCTCGCATCACATCCCATCCCATCCCATCCCATCCCATCCCATCCCATCCCATCCCATCCCATCCCATCCCATCCCATCCCATCCCATCCCATCCCATCCCATCCCATCCCATCCCATCCCATCCTATCCCATGCCGTGCTGTGCCATTCCGTGCCATGTCACACCCTCCCATCCGGTCCCGTCTCATGCCACGCCATCTCTCCCTATCAGGCCTGATGGGGTACCGGAGGGTGCGAGGGTGCAGTGGGAGGTGGAGCTGTTTGGATTCGAGCGGCCCAAGGTGAGTGCATGAGTGGTAACTGTGCATGGATGAGCAGTGGCAGGGCAAGAGGGTACGAATGGGGCGAGTGGGCTTCCATTGGTCAGGAGAGGGCGCGAGGGTGCAGTGGGAGGTGGAGCTGTTTGGCTTTGAGCGGCCCAAGGTGAGTCATTCCAGTTGAATTGGGTGCTTCTAGCGTTTCTATGTGCATCATGAATGCGTCATGCGTGCGTCATGCGTGCGTCATGCGTGCGTCATGCGTGTGTCATGCATGCGTCATGCATGCGTCATGCATGCGTCATGCATGTGTCCCACATGCAGGCAATTGGAGCTGGGCTGTTTCAGGACATTCATGCTGTGTTGTTGCCATGGATGTTTTGCAAGCAGCACTAGATGATTCTTTTGAAGCGCCGCGGAGCATTCCTTCCCATGCCCCTCTCCTCTCCTGAACCCCAAGAGTTGAACCCTGAACCCCAAGAGTTGAACCCTGAACCCCAAGAGTTGAACCCTGAATCCATCTGCTGTTTCTGTGCGACCAGGGCTGGGAGGGGCTGTCGTTCGAAGAGATCATTGCGGAGATTGACAAGGCCAAGCAGCTGGTAGGGTTTTAGGGTTTTTAGGGGTTTCTGGTTTGTCGGGGTTGGGGTTTGTAATATGGCTGAATGTAGGGGTTGCGTTTAGGGTTTACTTTCGCTTTGACTGCAAGGTTGAGTGAGTGTGGGGTGACAAGGAGTCGTAGAGAGGGACTTGTAAGGACTTCAAGGTTTGACCCTTTCTTTCTGTTGGGATGCCTCGTTTGTGCTTCAACCGTGGGACTTGTTTCGCTTGGTTTTCAGTATTGACATGATGGGTCAGCCGATCATTCCCATCCCATCCCACTGCATCCCATCCCATTGCATCCCATCCCATCCCATCCCATCCCATCCCATCCCATCCCATCCTATCCCATTGCATCCCACTGCATCCCATCCCATCCCACCATTGGCAGGGAAACACTCTATACAAGGAGAAGAAGTACAGCCATGCTTGCAGCAAATACGACAGGGTAATGACCTGCCTGCCTTGCACCCTGCCTGCCTAGCACACCACCTTTTGACTTGCATGCATACAGACGCTGCCGCTTCAGTCATTCTTCCCCCACTCCACTTCCCTCCCTTTGTACCCCTCAATTTCCGGTCCACTCCACTCCACTACACTCCACTCCACTCCACTCCACTCCACTGCTCTCCCTTCATACCATTCATTCTCCTACCAGCTCTTGCGGGAGATGAGGCATGTGCACCCCAAGGAGGGCGAGGAGACGAAGCAATTCAACTCTGTGCAGGTGAGAGGGGGGGAACGGGGGCCAGGTGAGGGGGGGGTGTGGAGTAGGTGGGGGGCGTTGATAGAGGCAGTTGTGGGGGAAGGCAGTGGGGGAGGCACGGGCATCGCTAGGAGGGCGAGGAGGCGAAGCAGTGCAGGTGAGGGGGGCAGAGTGTGGGGCAGGTGAAGGGGGGGGAATGGAGCGGGGGCAGGTGAGAGGGGGGGGGGTAATGTGGCACAGCTGCTGCAGGAGATGAGGCACATGCATTCCAAGGAGGGCGAGGAGGCAAAGCAGTTCAACTCCGTGCAGGTGAGGCGGGGAATGGAGGGTGGGAGAAAGTGGAGGGGTAAGGTGGTGGGGCCAGGTGAGGGGGAGCAGGTGAGGGGGAGTAGGTGAGGGGGAGTTGGTGAGGGGGAGTAGGTGAGGGGGAGTTGGTGAGGGGGAGTAGGTGAGGGGGAGTAGGTGAGGGGGAGTAGGTGAGGGGGAGTAGGTGAGGGGGAGTAGGTGAGGGGGAGTAGGTGAGGGGGAGTAGGTGAGGGGGAGTAGGTAAGGGATGCATGGGGGGAGTTGGTGAGGGGAGTAGGTGAGGGGGAGTTGGTGAGGGGGAGTAGGTGAGGGGGAGTAGGTGAGGGGGAGTAGGTGAGGGGGAGTAGGTGAGGGGGAGTAGGTGAGGGGGAGTAGGTGAGGGGGAGTAGGTGAGGGGGAGTAGGTAAGGGATGCATGGGGATGCATGGGGATACATGGGGATGCATGGGGATACATGGGGATGCATGGGGATGCATGGGGATGCATGGGGATGCATGGGGATGCATGGGATGCATGGGGATGCATGGGGATGCATGGGGATGCATGGGGATACATGGGGATGCATGGGGATGCATGGGGATGCATGGGGATGCATGGGGATGCATGGGGATGCATGGGGATGCATGGGGATGCATGGGGATGCATGGGGATACATGGGGATGCATGGGGATACATGGGGATGCATGGGGATGCATGGGGATGCATGGGGATGCATGGGGGGATACATGGGGATGCATGGGGATGCATGGGGATGCATGGGGATGCATGGGGGATAATGGGATGCATGGGATGCATGGGATGCATGGGGATGCATGGGATGATGGGGATGCATGGGGATGCATGGGGATGCATGGGGATGCATTGGGATACATGGGGATGCATGGGGATACATGGGGATGCATGGGGATGCATGGGGATGCATGGGGATATAGTCCATTGCAGTCAATAAGCTGAACGCATGGGGATGCGCCGCTGCTTGCATGGCAGCATTGACAAAAGACCACCCTTGACACCTGCTCTGCTCTGCTCTGCTCTGCTCTGCTCTGCTCTGCTCTGCTCTGCTCTGCTCTGCTCTGCTCTGCTCTGCTCTGCTCTACTCTGCTCTGCTCTGCTCTGCTCTGCTCTGCTCTGCTCTGCTCTGCTCCCTTCCCCAATCACGCCGTCCCTCCTCTGACAGGCCACCCTTTGTACACCCCTTTCCTCTCTCCCTTCCAGACCGCTCTGCAGCTGAACGTGGCGGCATGTCAGCATGGCATGGGGGAGTATGCGCGGGCTATAGAATGGGCCGACAAGGTGCGTGGGATGTAATCGATGCTGAGGGAGGAAGGTGCGTGGGATGTAATCGATGCTGAGGGAGGAAGGTGCGTGGGATGTAATCGATGCTGGGGGATGAAGGTGCGTGGGATGTAATCGATGCTGAGGGAGGAAGGTGCGTGGGATGTAATCGATGCTGAGGGAGGAAGGTGCGTGGGATGTAATCGATGCTGAGGGAGGAAGGTGCGTGGGATGTAATCGATGCTGAGGGAGGAAGGTGCGTGGGATGTAATCGATGCTGAGGGAGGAAGGTGCGTGGGATGTAATCGATGCTGAGGGAGGAAGGTGCGTGGGATGTAATCGATGCTGAGGGAGGAAGGTGCGTGGGATGTAATCGATGCTGAGGGAGGAAGGTGCGTGGGATGTAATCGATGCTGAGGGAGGAAGGTGCGTGGGATGTAATCGATGCTGAGGGAGGAAGGTGCGTGGGATGTAATCGATGCTGAGGGAGGAAGGTGCGTGGGATGTAATCGATGCTGAGGGAGGAAGGTGCGTGGGATGTAATCGATGCTGAGGGAGGAAGGTGCGTGGGATGTAATCGATGCTGAGGGAGGAAGGTGCGTGGGATGTAATCGATGCTGAGGGAGGAAGGTGCGTGGGATGTAATCGATGCTGAGGGAGGAAGGTGCGTGGGATGTAATCGATGCTGAGGGAGGAAGGTGCGTGGGATGTAATCGATGCTGAGGGAGGAAGGTGCGTGGGATGTAATCGATGCTGAGGGAGGAAGGTGCGTGGGATGTAATCGATGCTGAGGGAGGAAGGTGCGTGGGATGTAATCGATGCTGAGGGAGGAAGGTGCGTGGGATGTAATCGATGCTGAGGGAGGAAGGTGCGTGGGATGTAATCGATGCTGAGGGAGGAAGGTGCGTGGGATGTAATCGATGCTGAGGGAGGAAGGTGCGTGGGATGTAATCGATGCTGAGGGAGGAAGGTGCGTGGGATGTAATCGATGCTGAGGGAGGAAGGTGCGTGGGATGTAATCGATGCTGAGGGAGGAAGGTGCGTGGGATGTAATCGATGCTGAGGGAGGAAGGTGCGTGGGATGTAATCGATGCTGAGGGAGGAAGGTGCGTGGGATGTAATCGATGCTGAGGGAGGAAGGTGCGTGGGATGTAATCGATGCTGAGGGAGGAAGGTGCGTGGGATGTAATCGATGCTGAGGGAGGAAGGTGCGTGGGATGTAATCGATGCTGAGGGAGGAAGGTGCGTGGGATGTAATCGATGCTGAGGGAGGAAGGTGCGTGGGATGTAATCGATGCTGAGGGAGGAAGGTGCGTGGGATGTAATCGATGCTGAGGGAGGAAGGTGCGTGGGATGTAATCGATGCTGAGGGAGGAAGGTGCGTGGGATGTAATCGATGCTGAGGGAGGAAGGTGCGTGGGATGTAATCGATGCTGAGGGAGGAAGGTGCGTGGGATGTAATCGATGCTGAGGGAGGAAGGTGCGTGGGATGTAATCGATGCTGAGGGAGGAAGGTGCGTGGGATGTAATCGATGCTGAGGGAGGAAGGTGCGTGGGATGTAATCGATGCTGAGGGAGGAAGGTGCGTGGGATGTAATCGATGCTGAGGGAGGAAGGTGCGTGGGATGTAATCGATGCTGAGGGAGGAAGGTGCGTGGGATGTAATCGATGCTGAGGGAGGAAGGTGCGTGGGATGTAATCGATGCTGAGGGAGGAAGGTGCGTGGGATGTAATCGATGCTGAGGGAGGAAGGTGCGTGGGATGTAATCGATGCTGAGGGAGGAAGGTGCGTGGGATGTAATCGATGCTGAGGGAGGAAGGTGCGTGGGATGTAATCGATGCTGAGGGAGGAAGGTGCGTGGGATGTAATCGATGCTGAGGGAGGAAGGTGCGTGGGATGTAATCGATGCTGAGGGAGGAAGGTGCGTGGGATGTAATCGATGCTGAGGGAGGAAGGTGCGTGGGATGTAATCGATGCTGAGGGAGGAAGGTGCGTGGGATGTATCGATGCTGAGGGAGGAAGGTTATCGATGCTGAGGGAGGAAGGTGCGTGGGATGTAATCGATGCTGAGGGAGGAAGGTGCGTGGGATGTAATCGATGCTGAGGGAGGAAGGTGCGTGGGATGTAATCGATGCTGAGGGAGGAAGGTGCGTGGGATGTAATCGATGCTGAGGGAGGAAGGTGCGTGGGATGTAATCGATGCTGAGGGAGGAAGGTGCGTGGGATGTAATCGATGCTGAGGGAGGAAGGTGCGTGGGATGTAATCGATGCTGAGGGAGGAAGGTGCGTGGGATGTAATCGATGCTGAGGGAGGAAGGTGCGTGGGATGTAATCGATGCTGAGGGAGGAAGGTGCGTGGGATGTAATCGATGCTGAGGGAGGAAGGTGCGTGGGATGTAATCGATGCTGAGGGAGGAAGGTGCGTGGGATGTAATCGATGCTGAGGGAGGAAGGTGCGTGGGATGTAATCGATGCTGAGGGAGGAAGGTGCGTGGGATGTAATCGATGCTGAGGGAGGAAGGTGCGTGGGATGTAATCGATGCTGAGGGAGGAAGGTGCGTGGGATGTAATCGATGCTGAGGGAGGAAGGTGCGTGGGATGTAATCGATGCTGAGGGAGGAAGGTGCGTGGGATGTAATCGATGCTGAGGGAGGAAGGTGCGTGGGATGTAATCGATGCTGAGGGAGGAAGGTGCGTGGGATGTAATCGATGCTGAGGGAGGAAGGTGCGTGGGATGTAATCGATGCTGAGGGAGGAAGGTGCGTGGGATGTAATCGATGCTGAGGGAGGAAGGTGCGTGGGATGTAATCGATGCTGAGGGAGGAAGGTGCGTGGGATGTAATCGATGCTGAGGGAGGAAGGTGCGTGGGATGTAATCGATGCTGAGGGAGGAAGGTGCGTGGGATGTAATCGATGCTGAGGGAGGAAGGTGCGTGGGATGTAATCGATGCTGAGGGAGGAAGGTGCGTGGGATGTAATCGATGCTGAGGGAGGAAGGTGCGTGGGATGTAATCGATGCTGAGGGAGGAAGGTGCGTGGGATGTAATCGATGCTGAGGGAGGAAGGTGCGTGGGATGTAATCGATGCTGAGGGAGGAAGGTGCGTGGGATGTAATCGATGCTGAGGGAGGAAGGTGCGTGGGATGTAATCGATGCTGAGGGAGGAAGGTGCGTGGGATGTAATCGATGCTGAGGGAGGAAGGTGCGTGGGATGTAATCGATGCTGAGGGAGGAAGGTGCGTGGGATGTAATCGATGCTGAGGGAGGAAGGTGCGTGGGATGTAATCGATGCTGAGGGAGGAAGGTGCGTGGGATGTAATCGATGCTGAGGGAGGAAGGTGCGTGGGATGTAATCGATGCTGAGGGAGGAAGGTGCGTGGGATGTAATCGATGCTGAGGGAGGAAGGTGCGTGGGATGTAATCGATGCTGAGGGAGGAAGGTGCGTGGGATGTAATCGATGCTGAGGGAGGAAGGTGCGTGGGATGTAATCGATGCTGAGGGAGGAAGGTGCGTGGGATGTAATCGATGCTGAGGGAGGAAGGTGCGTGGGATGTAATCGATGCTGAGGGAGGAAGGTGCGTGGGATGTAATCGATGCTGAGGGAGGAAGGTGCGTGGGATGTAATCGATGCTGAGGGAGGAAGGTGCGTGGGATGTAATCGATGCTGAGGGAGGAAGGTGCGTGGGATGTAATCGATGCTGAGGGAGGAAGGTGCGTGGGATGTAATCGATGCTGAGGGAGGAAGGTGCGTGGGATGTAATCGATGCTGAGGGAGGAAGGTGCGTGGGATGTAATCGATGCTGAGGGAGGAAGGTGCGTGGGATGTAATCGATGCTGAGGGAGGAAGGTGCGTGGGATGTAATCGATGCTGAGGGAGGAAGGTGCGTGGGATGTAATCGATGCTGAGGGAGGAAGGTGCGTGGGATGTAATCGATGCTGAGGGAGGAAGGTGCGTGGGATGTAATCGATGCTGAGGGAGGAAGGTGCGTGGGATGTAATCGATGCTGAGGGAGGAAGGTGCGTGGGATGTAATCGATGCTGAGGGAGGAAGGTGCGTGGGATGTAATCGATGCTGAGGGAGGAAGGTGCGTGGGATGTAATCGATGCTGAGGGAGGAAGGTGCGTGGGATGTAATCGATGCTGAGGGAGGAAGGTGCGTGGGATGTAATCGATGCTGAGGGAGGAAGGTGCGTGGGATGTAATCGATGCTGAGGGAGGAAGGTGCGTGGGATGTAATCGATGCTGAGGGAGGAAGGTGCGTGGGATGTAATCGATGCTGAGGGAGGAAGGTGCGTGGGATGTAATCGATGCTGAGGGAGGAAGGTGCGTGGGATGTAATCGATGCTGAGGGAGGAAGGTGCGTGGGATGTAATCGATGCTGAGGGAGGAAGGTGCGTGGGATGTAATCGATGCTGAGGGAGGAAGGTGCGTGGGATGTAATCGATGCTGAGGGAGGAAGGTGCGTGGGATGTAATCGATGCTGAGGGAGGAAGGTGCGTGGGATGTAATCGATGCTGAGGGAGGAAGGTGCGTGGGATGTAATCGATGCTGAGGGAGGAAGGTGCGTGGGATGTAATCGATGCTGAGGGAGGAAGGTGCGTGGGATGTAATCGATGCTGAGGGAGGAAGGTGCGTGGGATGTAATCGATGCTGAGGGAGGAAGGTGCGTGGGATGTAATCGATGCTGAGGGAGGAAGGTGCGTGGGATGTAATCGATGCTGAGGGAGGAAGGTGCGTGGGATGTAATCGATGCTGAGGGAGGAAGGTGCGTGGGATGTAATCGATGCTGAGGGAGGAAGGTGCGTGGGATGTAATCGATGCTGAGGGAGGAAGGTGCGTGGGATGTAATCGATGCTGAGGGAGGAAGGTGCGTGGGATGTAATCGATGCTGAGGGAGGAAGGTGCGTGGGATGTAATCGATGCTGAGGGAGGAAGGTGCGTGGGATGTAATCGATGCTGAGGGAGGAAGGTGCGTGGGATGTAATCGATGCTGAGGGAGGAAGGTGCGTGGGATGTA